GGGTAGAAACCTACAGCTGGATGTCTTCGCAAGCCCGCGAGTGTATTTCCGTCAAGATTTGCTGAAAAGCCGCGGCGGAGGTGCTTGTATTCGTGTCTGGGCTTGATATTAAAACTTTCTATAGCGTCTTTGTGGTCGGCTTCAGAGGCGCCAGATCGAAGGTAGACGACGTATCTATCGGCAACGAGGCTTGCATCGTCCCCACGAGGAATAAGAAGTGGCGCATGGACGGCCCGCGGTGCAGAACCAGGGGCGGCGATGGAGACAGCTAGCCCAGAGAGGAATATCAGAAGACGCATGTTGAAGTGTGGTTATGGAACTTGGTGATGATGAGCCCTGAGAAGTTGAAGTTGTTGAAGTTGGACTTGGACGCACAAAGAAGCCATATTACCTTAGTTATAAATAAAGAAGCTCACTAGCAACTATCCAAGAATAAACGACAAGGTACATATAGATTGAAGTCATATTCAGCCTCGCTACGTGGACTTTTCGGCAATGGCCCGATTTTTCGTCACAAAAGAGCCATCCAACGACGACTCAAACACACTAGCAATTACCTTCCTGGCAATGCATTACTCATGCTTTGATCCAGGATCCACCCCTTTCCTGTCCCTGGACTATAACGCGATGGCGACTTCTATAATTCGAGGGAACCATCTCCATACCGTCGGAGGCTCTGAGCCGATAAGGCGTAGGAAAGTCCGGTTCTGCACAGCCGGGTTGCATGATTCCCCTTTTTATTGTGGGCGAAAGAATAACCGCTACGTAACTCGAGACAGATGCCTTATCTTTTCAATTGCGCGTCATGCTTCGTATTCTGATCCTACGCGACCCCTAAGCCACCATCCGCGGGCACATCGCCGCGGAGATGCTCTCGCCGCGAACAAATTCGCCCCTCTGGGACAAAACACCCGACACAAACGATGGTCATGGCATAACATCACCCGCTGTCTGGATTCATTGCCGCGGGACAAAACGGCGGAAGCCGCGGAAAGCGCGCGGCCTTTGATGCTTGGAGGCCGCTGCTGGTACATTCATATGAGTCGGAGCGGATGGCTTCACGTTCAATTCTTGAAAATGAAGCCCATGAGACAATCTTTGCAGCTCTTTCAATGAATTTGGAGTGAATAAATGTCCATGGCTTGAAATACTCCCCCGGATAAGTTTTCGCCGCTGAATCCCACATTACAAATCGCGTTGGCGATTGTGAAGTCCGCGTGGTTAGAGCTAGTTAGAAACACGCAGTTCTCACAGCCGCTACTCAGAGCTGGCATCTAGATTCCTCATAAAAGCAACTGCTAGCGACGATGATGTCATCAGCCGTCAGGCAATGGATGCAGTTCTCTCTTAACGAGCTGTTTTAAGCGTGTTTCAGGATTCCAAGTAGCCCCTGAAAGCAGTCAGCTTCTATATCGGGAAAAGCTTCAAAGACCCTGATAGACCGTTTTGATCATGGCCTAGTTTCAATATGGATTTGATCCGTAGCTGCTACTCGTGCGCATTTCCTAGAGAGATTAGCAGAAGAATGCAAAGATGCGCGATACAGGTCGTTTCTCAATCTACCCTGAAATAGAATCATATTTTTGCGGCACCTTGTAGCTTACAGAATAGATTGACACCTTTATCACAGAATGTCTATGTTCATGAGTTGTTTTGCAAGGCTGTTCCTAGTAGCTTGTACGCAAGGCCAAGTTACTCCTGGAGCTAAGCTTGGTCTACAAGGAATAATAATATTGCTAATCTCTCCAAAATTTAAAAATGGACTGCGTACACTTGATACACTCTTCATATTACGTCACAGAATTGGCCAATTGGTCCACGCGTATAGTCAGCTCGCGCTTCACGGGCGGGAATCTAGCCCTGGATAATGAGCTCCAAGTGTCCGATACTATTTAAATTCTGCCCTCTGGTCGCAATTTATACTAGTCACTAACGGGTAGTAAATCCCTTTTTTACCTCTCAAGCCATTAATGCAACCAGCAACCTACCAAATCCGACTGCATCCCGCCCCTTGTACATTTAATATTTTTAGAGCTTTTATCCAGGAGAAGCTCTTCCGGACTAGATAATGCATTAACTTAACCCCCAACAGGTGATTCATGAGTCAATTTCTCCAAAGCGCCGTTACGGTCCTTCATAGTTTCGTCCCCAACGCATCGCTCTTCAGTTCTGTCTACCTCTTCCCGCACAGCCTCTGGCATCCTCAATACGATTGGATTAAACGGACGAAAAGGCTTCCCTTTGTTAGTAATCTATTCTAAGGATTAAAGACTAAACTTACCCAGAATACCCAGCTGGGTTTGTACCACCAACCCCCAGCAAACACCGTATACTCCTTTGACAAGGTGAGACATGGCAATTGTAGCAAAACAGCATTCTCGCAAGGGGACTCACTATTCCATCCTCGGCTTTAAATTCCTGGGAAACACCGGCCCCAGTAATCATGCCCCAATTTCCTTTGCCACTTAATTTTTGTCCATCCAAAGCACTCCCAGTACACTGAACAGATAGTTCTTCGTTCGCTCCCAGAACTGCCGCTACTTTACAGTGCGTAGTGCAGTATACTTGGGTGACCAAGAATAGCCCATAGTCTGAGACTGGGTCATCAAACTTTAGCTCAGAGATTTTCTCACGGCCATGTTCCTTGACCCAATCGCGAAATGGTTCATCTGGTTCATATGCCCTGTATTGGACGGGGTCGGTCAAGAGAAGGCCACACTCAGACTTTATTGTTGTAAAGCCCAGCGAAAATCCAGCTTTTGGAGGCAAGTTTCCGATTCTACATCCATGTTAGTGCTGGGTTTCGACCCTATTTTATACTTGTACCAGAATGCAAACCTTATTTCAGCTTCCGCGTTGCATTTGGTCCATTTCATAGTCTCTCCATAGACTGGACCTAGTTCAACCGGGGGCTCTGTCACAAGCTTAGAGTCCTTGGAGAGATCAGCAGAGAGATCGATAATAAGGTGCCAGTGTCCGTTTATATCGAAATATCCACAGTGACCGGGCTGGAGGTTGGGCGCTGCGTGATATAGCGGGCGTCCAAAGCCAACGGAGTGCAGGCTCTTTGTATACACTTTATCCATGCTGAAGACCGGCGCCTTGAGTGGATTTCCATTGTTAGCCAGTTTTGCTGTCCAGATTGTAATGAGGAGTGTTATATATGTATGCACGTAATATCATTGATGGCAAGCTGTATGATGAGCGGCTTGGAGCTGCGCCTTCTCCACAGAGTTTCCCCAAAAACTCATTTTCAGAGTTATGCGCCACAGAAACTCGGTCTGAAAATCGTGGCTTTGATACAATAATATATTTTCTGGGCCGTGGCTGGGATTTCGGGACAACATTCCTTCAGATTCAGCTGTCGTCGTTCAAGCACACCATCGCTAGACGACTTGTCACAATTCACTGGACCAGGCGAAAGAGAAATGTCACACTTCCACCAGTGCTTTACATAATTAAACCTTGTATGCCTCTTATCTGTAGATAGGGTATTATTACGCGTTGGCACGACTGCTCGTTGACGCTTTCGCCCGAATTATCTACAAAGCCACGTCTGTAGCTAAAGATGGTAACAAGTACAATTAGGAGACCGTTTCACAATGTATTGTGTATTACTTACTATCAGTACTCCTCTCCCACACACCGGAAGAAGTTGGGTGTGAGATTTTGATTTAGGTCCAGATAGCTTTTCAATCTGGGCCCCTCAGTAGAGATTGCCTCTAGGATGACATGATACGGGATGGCCAACGCCTTGCGGTTCTGATAGTGAAGGTTTCCGACAAATCCAAGTCCTGCGCACCAGGTTTGCAGACTTACTTGTATAGACAAGCACGGTGAATTTCATAAACTTCAAGTTCATGATATGTTAGTTACTACGTGATGATTGCCTTGGTCAACCGATAAGATGTAGTTGGGAGAGTGTTTAAATTTATTGCGACATCTTTAGTTTTACATCAGCCCCACCAGGAACATTGAAGGAGATTCCGACGATAAATAACCAGAGAATTGGCGACGACGTTGAGAAGCATTGATCCCTAGGTGAACACCCCCATTGACCCTTCTCTCCCTCACCGGAACCACCTCAGGGAACTCCCCGTCGGACAAGTCTAGGACACGTCCATACACAAAACAACTCCAAGGCTTTCGGAAAGCCTCAATGTCACTACATGAAATCCCAAACTACAGATTTACAATTGCTCAACTCGTCACTTGCTCGACAAGAGTGGCGTTAGTATTTATCGTCTCACCACCGTATTCTTTTCTACCTTTTCGAAAGTGGCATGTGGAATGCAGTGACATGGCGGTTGTTCTATGCGGCATCATAGCTTCGCGCCCGCGGCGTTTTTCAGCTGAAAGCTGAGATGCCACAGCTTCCAAACTCTAATTTACATCAACACCCGCCGTTGGGCGGCCGCGACTGGTTGCTGTTATACACAGGTTTCCACACAGCCGTTATGCCCATCGGAATTCGGCACCACAGACTTTGCTGCTGAAGCGCCAATTCATCAGCTAGAACTCTACATAGGCTTACTGTACAGTAAAAGGCCACCGCAAGATGAAATATCTGCGCCCGTACCCCAGGCTCGACTACACTTGGTTCCAGGCCGCGGAGGGCCTCTTTCAAGTGGCGCCCAAGTAACCACTACCTAGCTAGGTAGGTATCAATTGATGCTTCTGCCCCGACCCTCCTCGAATAGTACATAGCAGTGTATTTGACGAAGCTGGAGGGCGGGGTGATCGATATAGTTGCTACGTGGAATAGACGGAACTTGACGTGGCCGTGGGAGAAAAAAGGAATTGCAAATTACTATCACCCAAAGCTTTGCCATACGTGACAAGTCTTCTCTATAGCCTAAACTAAAACTCCTACCGGCCCGTATGGGCATCACATGTGTCAATTTGATACATCCTACCCTAAACCACCAGACATACATGGCGTTCAAAGTCGCATCTTAGTAAGGAAACACCATGCCTCATGTTCAAAACGGACTCTCAAATTAGTAAATACCCCATACCACAGCAAAAGGCTGCAAGCCGTCAAGCTGAGCAATTCTGTCGGCTATGACAGTGATCCAAGCTGCCTTATCCTTCGATGTTATGTCCCATTTCACCTGCTCGACGTTGTTCTCCGCCACGAAACCCTCATCGCCCCTTTGTTCCTCCGAGACCCCGGATTGCTGTTCGATGACGACCTTGAGTATCAGGTTATTTTGCAGATTCTCTCCTGGGGGGTCCGAGTATGCCAAAGTGACCTTCAGAGTCCCGGTATGGTCTCCCGTAAAATCGATCTTCTTTGGTTCCCGCGGCCACGTCTTGCCCTCCTTTAATGCGTTCTCACCACCCACATCCTCGAAGCCAAACTGCTCCCAGTCAACCTGCTCCCCCGGACCAGACTCGACGACACAACGAAGGGATTCCTTCAGATTGACTCGACCAAATCCCTGGTCAGGCTTAGGTAGCTTGAGATCGTCGGCCCCGTTGATCAACAATGCTTTAACGAGAGCAGCGCTAGGACTAGCCGTCTTATTGTTTGACTGCAGTGCCTCGCGCAGTACTGCACAGCAGCCCGAGACTAGGGGAGCCGCCATGCTCGTGCCAGAATAGAACATCCAGTTGTTGTCGTCTGTCTGGCCAAAGTATTGACGCCTATCTGCCATGGCTTCATGGCGCGAACATGTGCTGAGGATGGCAACGCCCGGAGCCACAACATCGGGCTTAATAATCTTGTGGAACGTAGGGCCTCGTGAGCTGGTGTATGCAATTTTGTCTGGGTGTCCAATAAACCCCCCTGGGTCATATTTCTGCCCAATTGAAGGTCGACGGGACTCTGTAGCACCAACACAAATGCTGTTCTTGGCGGCACTGGTGCTTCCGATTTGGCTCATTTTGCTGTAATAGGACATCTCTTCACCGTCGTTGCCCGCGGCGAAGACGATGACATCTGTGCTATTGTCAACTGGCTTCAGTAAGTGGGAAACAATGTGAGGGACCACGCACGATCTTGCTTGCGACATATGAAGTTGTCAACCGCCCAGGCACCTACATCGTACGGTATCTGGTAAGATGGCCAGCTTGCCCCCTAAGAGTTGCAAGAAATACGAGCCCCGTACGAGTAGGCCTCGTCGAAGAGTCCTGTGAGATCCCTGGGTATCCTGATGTTTACATCATCGCTGTCGAGGATAGATTGAAGGACCAGCGATGCTTTCGGTGCCGCTCCCTGAATGCTGCCTCCCATGGTGTCTGACCATCCATCGCCCAAGGCTGACCCAGCCACGTGGGTTCCATGGCCAACAGGGTCATCGGTTCTACCAGCTCGTTGCTTATTCGAGAGCAGAGCCACAATACTCCCCCTGAATGCCGGGTGAGGGCTATCCTTTGACCCAGTATCGAATCCTGTGTCAGCTATGGCTATAACCTGGCCTTGGCCTTCATAGTTCACACCGAGAGGAGATACTCGTGGATAAACAATGCCTATATCCTCTCGAGATATGTCGTTGAACAGCTTCGGCTTTATGGACTGTTCTATAGCCTTAATGGCGTCAACTTCCACAATTTTGTCGATCGTGGAGGCATCAGCCGTAAGCTTGATGACGTTCTCCTCCGCGACTATATCCTTCGGGACTATTCCAGTCTTCTCACGTAGATCGTTAATAAAACTGTCCGATACCTTCTCTCCCTTGTGGAGGAAGATTTCGACATCGAAAGTCTTCTTGGGATGACCCTCACTCTCACTCGATTTTATCGCGTCGACTATACTTCTAGACTTTTTAACATCATGGGGGAAAATGTTGGCCTGTGCCACAAATTCCAAGTCCCGAATGGGTTGAAGATTAGAAGGCTCGTAGTGGCAGAGGTATATGTCGTTTCCGAGGTATTCAGTAACTGCGGCACCTTTCTTGGCGAGTTCTCTTTTGTCATCAGCGATAATTCGTCTAGTGCCTCGAACGACTATAAAGTTTGTAGAGCTTGTATCCGACGTGGAAGGCACTGCAGTCGAGAGCTCATTTCCATTGACGATAACCTGCGTGGACATGATGGATTGCGATGTGATGCGCGTTTAGAATCATCTAGAGTCAGTGACGAAAAATAGACAACAGCCGTGGCCTAGGTTTGGCAGCGAGGAAATTCGTGACAACTTTATAGTTGTGAGCTGATGATGGTCCTGAAACAAGTGGTAGACCCAAATAACGCGCCTTGTTACTATGTCAGGAGGGGGGGTTCGGAATCCCAGTGAATTGCCATTGTCAGCCGCAGTTCTCTTTTGAGGACAAAGGCTTTCAGCGGCGTTTTACCTGCTGATAACAAGCCGTCACATGCCGTACATTAACGCCACTTGGCCAGCAATCGTGTACCTGTACATTCAATGGGGGAATCCTATTCAGTTGTGGGTTGTGCTGTCAATGACACACTGTAGGGGACCTCGGGCTCTCGCCTGTTAACCTTATTGCAATCTGTCTCTATTCACGTGTGTCGTTGTGCACATGGGCCTCAGCAAGTTGTCTACTATTTGTGTCAATGCCGTCAAACTACATATATAATCAAGTTGTGACATGGGCTCGATAGAGGGCTTGGAGTCAATAGCTCAACTCATCTAATAACAGTCTTTGGTATCAAAGGTCCTTAGTTTCCCTTAAGGCCTCGTTGACTAAGACGTCTTTAAATCCAAGAAGTTAGTGAGGGACTTTGCCCTAGGTCTTATGATTGTAGCTTTTATATAACCTTTAATATTAGGCTATTTCCGTGTAACACGAGTTTACAAATTGCTGGCTTTTGGTAACTAGGTTTCCAACCACGAAAGACGTCAAAAATCCCTCGATGGGCAGCTCCAATCAAAGACCAGTTCTACGTTCAATTCAATCCACGGCTACTCCATCGAGCAAATCCTCATCACGCCCACATCCCGGCAAAGACTCCAACACGTAAACGCTTAATAAAGCGCCAACGTTGGAGAGCACAAAATCCACAGACGATCGGCTATCGTTGAGAAACTCGGCGGCCGAAGTGGGATTGGCCGTCTGTCCAACTCGGCGTGGGCCAAGCTGAGCCAGGTCCTGGGCAATATATACGTCCCATGGTTATAGTAGATGTGTAGACTTAGCGAGTGTGCCCACCGCCGGATTTGCAACCACTCGGTCTTATTTCAAAGACATATAATTTGCTGCCTTTGCGATTCGACGCTGGATCCAACCATCTGTGGGCTGGATCTGGAGTCTCAAGTGTCGTCTTCATCACACACTTGGGTCGTAACACGGCTCCGGACCCGTCGCAAACTCGGTGGACAGGCACCACCACTGCAGGAGCCCTAAACAATGTCATACGAGCGGGGTGAAAGCGCCCAGATGTCTCCTTGTAATATCAGTTCACGGCACTACTGTCGGCGATTGCGAAGCGACTCCCGCCGGGCGCGTAACAAGACAATGCAAACCACTCCAAACGAACGTCAATTCATTTAATTAGCCAGAATGGTGGACCCATGCTCGTCTTCGGCTGAATCTCATGCAAACACCAAATAAGCATAAAATTATGCCAAGTCTTGCGCGGGGCACCAGCAGCCTTACATCTTGTCCAAGTCCCCCCCCCCCCGGCCTTCCAATCTATTGCGACGGAAATTATGCCCGCTTCGCCATCAATATTAGGATATTCTACTAGTATGTTATGCAATAGCGTTTATCCCAACTAGTCCTGGCAATCCCGCCGGGAGGAAGGGTCTATGCTCGAGTCCTAGGTAGTTATCTGTTAGTGGTAATGCTAACTAACCCGCCAGGTATAGAGGAGACTTAAATGTTATTTCCACCAACATGATTCATAATCTCTATTAAACATGGACAGAATTATTACTAGAACCCTTCTAATAATCTCCACAACATTCCCATTAATGTCTATACGAGTTGGATGGTAACCTCGGCCATTTGCGAGTCAGGTAACATGAGGTGGCATCATACTAAATTTCTTTGGTGTAATTTTACTCTATTAAGATATGACTAGCCAGAGAACTAGTCCCCAACATATGGTCGAGTGTAGGTACATAAATATATATGTGTGTGTTCCAAGACACAGGCTTATCCCAACTCCTCCCAACTCATCACCTCAGAACTCTAAATTTCAGAACCTCCAATCTATTACCAAAGTAATCACCTAGCCATGAAGAACTTTGCTGCCCTTCTCTTTGCATCTGCCTTGGCAGTCCCCCTGGCTGCTTCTGCAGTCGCGCCACGGTGGTCGACACTACCAGAAGGACCCCTCCCCAGTGTTGTCTATCGTGGCGACGATCTGCCTCCAGAATATTATAAAAACCTCGGTGGAATCCCTCACGAATTTGAAGGAAAGACAGACAACAGGTCATACAGTTTGTGGTGGCACAATGTTGGTTTAGACGGATGGGTGGGTAAAATGCGAGGAAAAAACAGACACTTCAACTCTGCTTACGCCGCAACCTCGAGTAGATGGTCATCCGCCCTCTACTTTGCTGTCCTGACTAGGGAGCAGGAATTTGGATGGATGTATCAAATCCACGCCACGCCAAATATGATCTACTTAGAAGGCTCCGGTTTCGCACCCCCGTTTACTGATGAGGTAGAGTACGCCGCTTTGGGAGGGATACGGTGGGACCAGATTGAGGCCTGGCTTCGCGTCCCTAAGAATGTGACCTCTGGGGACCGTAAGACTTTCAAGTCGGATGGCACGTTGGCGAAGTGGGCCTTGCTTGAAAATTTTACCAAGGATTTCCCTGATTTGAAATGGGTCAAAAACCCAGATTATAACCCGGCGTATAACCAGTATCACGGCAGCGAAGGGCAGCCTCAACTTGGTGGCAGGCCTATCAAAGTTAAAGGCAGCCTTCAACTCGATATTCCGCGAGAATTTGAAGGGAAGTCAATGGAGTACCACGCCATCGAGTTTATGAACAAGGTCGGCGGGCCTGTGGGCTGGACTGGAGCGTTCCCATTGAACTTTTCGGCCCCTGCAGACTTTTCCGCGGCCGAGATTTGACGGAATTCAACTACGGCGACATTACCGAGGACGAAGGCAGGCGGCAGATCGGGCGGTATGTCTTGGAGGAGCGGAAGAAGCGGAAGAAGGAAAACTTTGACGACGTTGAAAAGGGCATGGGGACGCCAAGTTTATGCCCATGACTGCATCGAGACAAAAGTCGCTTATTCAATTCAACAGCTACATTCCAACAAGTAGTTGGTTTATATACAATTCAACTTGTTATATTGAAAAATCAAGTTTCCCATTTTATCTGGTCTAACAGTCCTCAATATAAGTGACGCTTTCATGTGCCACAAAATGGATGGATGCGAGAGTTTTCGAAATTCATAGTTTAAACATGTTGTTGAGAAGACGTGAATCAACATTAGGGCACGTACTGATAAAAAAAAACTGCTTGTTTCTCGTATCTCGTACCTTCTAAATGATAAGGGATTTATTTGTATCTTGGTACAGGATGAATATCAAGACCGTGTGCGGGCAGTCTTGTGTTGAACACTCCCTTCCTCGCTCGGCAGTATTTGCTGCTGGCAATAACCACATCCACTTCACACCCATCGAAGACACCGAGCCGACTTGCGGTAATACACAGCGCCAGACGACCATGAATATCACTAATACCTTCACCTGGACGTGGGAACAAGCAATTAAAGTGGGTGGGGATATTAAATTTTTTACGGGCCTACCAGTCATCGGAGCCAAGTCAAAAACTATCCTCAAATCTACGTCCAAGGGCGGACAAGACAGAACCATCACCAATACAACACAGGTAGCGGAAATGTCACACTAAGGTTACACCAGGCCTACGGTCACGGGACCTAGGGCAAAGTCCCTCACCGACTTCTTGTATTTAAAAGAGGTCTTTGGTCAACGAGGCCCTGAGGAAAACCAAGGACCTTTGATACTAAAGACTGTTATCAGATGAATTGAGTCATGTTGCTCCAAGCCTTTAGCCCTTGTCACAGGAAACGAGGACGTACAAATGCCGCCCAGATCACCGATGCCAGCCCCAAACCTGAATGTTCACATCCGAATACGACGGGAATTATTACGAGATGCCAGTAGCCGACTTCAAATGTCTCCCAAGGAGTGTCAAATGGATCTATAAATCGAAGCACGCTCAAAAGCGCCCTGCCTCGTCTCCAATCGCCCAAGTTGGACCAGTCAGCCTATGACGGGCAAAAATCTCTGCCGCGTCGGGCAAAGTCCACTTTGTCCAGTCTGCATCGGCATGGCGGCCATACCATTCAGCAGCGAAATCCCAAATTTGCTTGATGGGCCGCACATCTCCCTTGGCAATGCCTCTAGTAGCACACCATTCGTCCACCTCGGCTTCATTGCGAAACAGTAGCTGGACCGAGCAGGTGTAGATGACGTTGTCCCAGGCATGACGCATGGGGACCGGAAAGTGTATCACGAAATCCGTGTCCAGCAGCTGTCCGTCCCGGACCGTGACGGACACTTCGTCGCCGATGGCGCCAATCCTCGTCGTAAGAGTCGAGGTGCCGCCTGCGAGGTGCATCACGCCGAGCGAGCACCAGGCACAGTTTCCCCACCATTTGCGATGGCCCGAGGTCACGATGCAGGTCGTGGGCGCGGCGGAGAAGGGATGGGCAACCCACACCTCGTCGGATTGGGGGTGTAGCACAACACCATGGTAGTCTGCCAAAGCTCGCAGGCCTTGCCGCGCCGTAGTGACATCGCTTTCGAAGCGGGTGGCGATGTCGCCAACAGTCGGAGGACGCTGGTTTTTGAGAAACGACGAGATGATGAATTCGTGCAAGCTGGAATGGTCCATGGTGGCAAGCCTCGCGTATGTGGCTTTCAGGGGCAGACTTGACTTGGATGAGATGCGGCAAGGCAGCCTCTATTATAGCTTATTATCAAGTGAGCCCCAAGTTGAATTAGTACCACGTACCGGCAGTTATCCGATCGCGTGCGTCGTGAGGGCGCGCCTTTTGCGAATAGTATGAAGAGCTGAAAACAGAGACACCGTGCGCGTTGCCACTTTGCACTATGTCCCCCGTACAGTATGGCGTCATG